CGATTCTCAACTCCATCTGTGCTGACCCGAGACCAATCTCTCTGCTCTATGCTCTTGAGTGGCTTAAGTAAGCTATTTACAGACCGCCTTGCCTCGCCTTCAAATGTCACCTCTTCACTTCGAAGCTGCTTACTTACACTTGTAGTAATCGTCTGCGATCAGGCAATACTATCCTCTCCCACACCTTCTGCACCGCTTTCCTGTATCACATGTGTGAGGAGGACCTGAAGAAAAGAAAAGAGGGAGGTGAAGTGTTGGAAACTGCAGAGGAGACGCACAGCACAGCCTTCTGATGGAATTGACGGTTGATAATTCCTTCCACCTCTGCACACTATCGCACATGCAGCGTGCGATAGTGTGTATTCCAAACATTCAGAAGTGTTGTTGGACTACGTTAACAAACAGAGGGTTAAATGACTGTGTGTGATTGACAAATGCGCGCTGACTAGGTGGAAAGGGTATGGTAGAGGCAACCCTCCCATCTTCTATCAGCAAATGTGGGAGTTGAAGGCGCCCAACGTGCTGCTTGGCAAGTCAGTACTCACGTGTTTCACTTCTTATTCACCTTTGTGTGGCACAAATGACTGACACCCACACACCAGATGGCACGCCTCAATCAATCAGGTGATACTCAACTCACCACTTCGTTTTTGTACAGACTACTACTACAGACTAAAGTGCATAGTTCATTGTAACATGAATCAAGTAGGCTTTGGCTGTCACACAGTGTCAGCGTGGAGTAGAGCGGCACCAATGTCAAATGTGAGGAGTGCAAGCTGCTCTTGCTGTTGTCACACTGTGGCTCAATGCAGTGATACTGTTGATGGGGCAGTGCGGAATTGTCAAGACTTTCATTGCATCGAGCAGTAATAATGGCGCCTCAAGTGATGGTGCAACAGTCAAACAAACGTGTGGATACCAACCATCAACCTGAATAGCCTTGAAGCATGTGAAACTCATCGAGGTTTGATCTCTACCTCCCCTTCCCCCGCACCTCTCTCCTCATAGTTCAAGTACATTCATGGCAAAGATTAGTAAAAGTTCTGTAGGTTCAAATAAACCACACGAAGTCTTCCCTGAAGTAGTGGGGAGGGAGACATAGCACTGGTGTAGAATAGGCATTTGCGACGTGGAGAAGAGTTGAGGGAGGTGGTGGTGGTGTGCGTGGGTTGATTTAGGTGTGGCTCGGAGGCCACGCCTCGCAGTGGAGGTACAGTCGCTGTGCCTTTTGCTAAATTGTGTCAAATCGTTGGCACTTTATCAACAGATAAATTGCTGAACTTACAACGGTAAGTGTCTTGCAATAATTGTCTTTTCTCCTGTGTGTGTGTGTGTGTGTATGTGCGTGTGTGTGTATGTGAATTAGCACTCACTCTCCAATCCGTATGTGTTGCAGGCGACTCCTTTATTAGCGGATGAGGAGGGCTGCACTTTAAGTCTAAAGGAAAAAATTCCACAACTTGGAGCGATTTTCTGTCACCAACCTCAAAATATCACAACCTGGCTAATCAATACATTTTTAAAGAAAAAAACCTCAAAATTCGCTTTACTCGAGGCGTTATTTTTTATTTGATAATTTAAAATAGAAGTCACAATTAGAGGAATGAATGGATGGAAGGGTGAAAGAATGAAGTAAATATTGGTGAGCTTTCTAGTGGGTGAATGAGCCACCCCTGTCTCATCTCCTATTCCGTCCCACATAAAAGCGTTGCCTCTGTCCCCCCCGAAATGAATTAAACTAACTTCATTTGCACACCCCACCATTTTTTTTAAAGTTCGTGCATTTCACAGCTTCATTCCCCGCCATAAGTAATACTTCGAAAGATCTCGTTGATTGTAGACACTACTAACTAATGGAACCATTTTAGCAGTTTAGTGAGCCACTAAGTCGGTAAACGGATTTCACGTCTACAGTTTTTGCACTACGGCTGTGCATTTTAAGCCAGTCATGTCTTTGCAGGTAAAAGTGCGCAAGTGTAGCTGCATGAATTCTGCGTTTGAGGGCCGGAAAGAAGGCTTTAAAAAAAACGCCACCGACACAAGAATACAAGGACCTTTCGGCATCACTTCAACGATACGCACCCCTCCGTGCAGTGGCGATAAGCCCTCAAAGGTCGCTTAAGCGTTATCGTGGTAAACAATTCAAGTTGTCACTTCTTCTTACTCATTCTACTAACCGCGTGTTTTCGCCTTATTCGGCGCACGATTCCGGTGCCCTCATCTCTTAAACGCGTTTCAGGCGATCTTTCTTTTATTTCAATTGCTGTCAGAGTGCTCACTGCAGGCTGCATCACACGCCAGTTGTCAAAGGCGTAAATTCTTTGCCCC